AGGGTGTCAGCACAGAAATCACGTTTTTTCAAAAAAAATTACAGGTTTACGTCCATATCCCTGTTATCCTTGTTGACCTTAACATCGGCCCACGTCGCGGACTACTCACAGGCTAAATATATTACCATCATTGATGGTCGAATTCTAGTATGGGAAGAATTCGCATTCGTCACACACTCGGCGAATCTCTCAGAGTATAGGCGCGTGGTGGAAGAAACTAATGGCATGACCAGCATGTTTCCACAGTCACACATACAGAAACTTTTGAGCGTCGATGTCGCTCACCTGCGTGACCTGCTCGAGTCGTTGAGCATCCACCATAGAGTAGCTAGAAGTTTAGACGTCTTAGGAACAGCGCTAAAGGTAGTGGCAGGAACGCCGAACGCAGAGGATTTCGAAAAAATTAAGCTTAATGAATTCCAGTTAATTAATGCAAACAATAGGCAGATAAGCATCAATAATAAGGTTCAAGACCAAATCAATAATATTTCCCCCACTGTCAATCAACTTCTGAGGTCGGCTAAAGAAGCCCAAATTAACTCGGGGCATCTATATGAGATGTTATTATCTCGAAATAGGATGCTTACAATGGAGCTGCAAGATTTATTACTGGCAATAGCGCTTGCTAAAGTCAATATCGTTAGCCCTAGCATACTAGACCATGCAGACCTGGAAGGTATGTGGATGGAGGAGCCCACACGTACTCCCATCAAAGACATATTGTCCGTTGCGTCCGTGAAAATATTACAGTCCATTAACATATTGCATTTTATTATTAAATTCCCTAAAATCAAATCGGCGTGTATTAAAATCACTATTTTCCCCGTGTCACATCACGACACGATGCTCAGGCTAGAGGACAAGATCATAGCGGATTGTGATGGAGAAATCCACACGGTCAATAATTGCTCCGTAACATCTGGAGCTACATTTTGCCAGCTGGCGCATAGAAGGTCGTGCCCCCAGGAGCTCCACGCTGGGGCCATAGCGCATTGTGACATCCAGCACAGCGATCTACATCCCATTACCTATGTAGATGAAGGCATCATTATTGTAAACGGTCCTCTGGCCCGTGTGAGTGTGGATAATGCCACTTACATCCATATACGAGGCACGCACCTCATCACCTTTTCTGAGAGTGCCAGAGAGTGGTTAATGAAACCCGTTATGTCAACCATGACATGGTCCAAAAAAGGGCCCCAGGAGTAGCTAGCTCGCCCTCCCTGAATATTACTATGGAGCATATGCTGCGCGTTGATCTGCGTCGGCTTAACTTATCGGCGAGTCATATCGGAGATCTGCGGCCCAGATAGTAGAAGTGATCGCCCAAATAGGGTCGGCCGAGGGCGGCCTTACTCCTGACGGGGGGAGTAGTTAACTAACTCAGCAGAGCGACGGCATTAACCGCTCGCCCAAAAGTTCGCTCCGGCCAAACTCCTGACACAGCGTCTGGCCGAAAGCTCATGCATAGCCGGCAAGCACTGCCCATTGGAGTGGCCGTTATGAAGCTCAGTTAATTTTCAACATTCAAAGAATAAAGAACACAAGTTCATTCTGAAATAACTTCGGCAACCGCCATATAACTTCTTATTACATAAACACTGACTGAGTCTCTAGGCCAGCAGCGAACGGAGGGCAGTTACCCTTCCAGCGTAATCTTCATAACTCTTCAGTTAATGAGAAGCTAATCAACCGACTACCGGCAGCTAATCGAGAGCTGCTGCGAAGAAGGCTGGACAATTATAATTTCCAGAGATCACATCAATTTTGACCATCGGCCAACCGGCTACTGATTGAAGACTGCAGCGAGAGACTCTTCTGCAGCTTCCCCCATACTAAACCTAATTCAACCGGCTACTGATTGAGGACTGCAGCGAGGGACTCTTCTGCAGCTACCCCCATACTAAACCTAATTGTTACATACTTTCCGACGAATCTAGTAGACCCTTTTCCTCTACGAGTAACGGGTATAATAAATTAAATGTTCAACGAATGTATTTATTAACGTATTTTATAGGTTTAGGGCTTCCTTCTAGTCCCACGGATGCTCTACCATGTTTCCAGCGCCATCTGTAGTCCATCCGAGTCCCAACCTTGAGGAAGTGGGAGCCGAATTGTGAACGGGGTTGTCCCGCCTGATGCTACATGAAGTCGCCCAGCATCCTGGTAATGGCTGGTAATGGCTCCTCCAGCTGTCCCTTAGCGGGCAACATTATTTCCTCCTCCCTATAGAAACTGGCGCGTCCTCCATATCCGCTTTAGCTGCCAAAAAGCTGGTGGAGGTGTAGTCCTTAATGGAGAGCTCGTCGGAGATCGAGCGATGTCCCATATTCCTTCCCACTGGTATTCTCTAGTGCATCTCCTCCAGCACTTCAACTATTCTGCGCATCTGCCCCGTTTTGGTATTACTTCCTGTTGGTCATTTCCCACAATAATGGGCAACATCTTGGATTAGGAGTCCTTTTTAATCTGTACTAACCTCCTTAAGCCGTTTTTGGGTTTTTTCTTCCATTTTTATACCCGTTACTCGTAGAGTAAAAAAGTATACTAGATTCGTCGGAAAGTATTAACAGGCAGAAGGAAGCGTTTCCGACCCCATAAAGTATTTATATTCTTGATCAGGATCACTAGCCGAGTCGATCTAGCCATGTCCGTCTGTCCGTCTGTCTGTCTGTCTGGATTAACGCTGAGATCTCGGAAACTATGGGAGCTAGTCTATTGAGATTTGGCGCGCAGCGCAAGTTTGTTTCAGCAGAGTGCCACGCCCACTCTAACGCCCACAAACCGCCCAAAACTGTGGCTCCTACAGTTTTGATGCTAGATTAATAATTTTAACTGAAATGTATTGTTCTCATCAATACCTATCAATTGCCCAAAAAAAAAGTTTGCCACGCCCACTTTGACGCCCACAAACCGCGAAAACCTGTGACGCCCACAATTTTCATGCTAGATAAAAAATTTTAACTGAAATGTATTGGTCTCGTCAGTACCTATCGATTATTCAAAAAAAAATTGCCACGCACACTCTAACACCCAGCTCGTCGTTCATCGAAATTCACTCGCTAAATATGGTATTTTTTCTGGTATTTCCTTAGCTCATCTGAGTACCCCGCTGAAAAACAGACCCGACGAAAAACGTTAGCTGCGTATTTGCCTCTCGCTCACTCCTATGGTTAGCTCGCGGTTTTCGTCGTTGTGAGTCCTAGGCTTTTCAGAAGTAAAAATATGTAATATTTTATTTTCATTATGAGTAAAAGCCTAAAGCCTAGTACTCACATCGACGAAAACCGCGAGCTAACTATAGGAGTGAGCGAGAGGCAAACAGGTGGCTAAAGGTTTTCGTCAGGTCTGTTTTTCAGCGCGGTACTCAGATGTGCTAAGGAAATACCAGAAAAAATACCAGATTTCGCGAGTGAATTTTCGATGAATGCCGTTAGCCGCGGCCCAAAGAATAAGAAATTTAATCTTTGGCGGTATTCGTGCAGAAGCGGTGGGGAATTTAAAAATGAAAAATGGAAGAAAATCACCAAAAACGGCTAAAGGAGGTCAGTGCAGATGAAAAAGGACGCCTAATCCAAGCTGTTGCCCATTATTGTGGGACTTGACCGACAGGAAGCAATACCACAACGAGGCGAATTCGCAGAATAGTTGAAGCGCTGGAGGAGATCCACTAGAGAATCCCAGTGGGAAGGAACATGGGACTTGACAACTAAAGCGGAGATGGAGGACGCGCCGGCTTCTATAGGGAAGAGAAAGTAAGGTCGCCCGCTAAGGGACAGCTGGAGGAGCCATTACCACCAAAGGAAGCCTTAAACTTGTAATTTACATTAAAAAAAACATTCGTTGAACATTTAATTTATTTATATTTTGTGCACCTCTTCTTTTTTAAATTGCTAAAATTGATTTTTTTTCCGTTTGGCAACAAGCCCAGCTGCATGACAGTAAGACCATGCCACATGCATTGCGGGTGAACTTCGAAAACATCGGTCACACTACAAAGAATAAGATTTTTCTGAGTACTAGGCTTAATACTCAAATCGACTAAAAGTTTCACTAGTCGAAAAATGTTATTCTCTGTAATGTGACCAAAGTTTTCAGCTTGTTATGTTGACGATTTAAAAAAAAAAGTAAGGGTGCACAAAGAAATATAAGTAAATGGAATTTTCAAAGGATGTATTTGTTTATGAAAAATGGTAGCTTAAAGCTTACTTCTTGTCCCACGGAGCAAGCGCCATCTGCAGTCCAGCTCCGATTCGTAATTTGCCAACATGTGCCTTTAGTAAGTGGGATACGGATTGGGGACGGGGTTGTTACGCTGATGCTGCAGGAAGACGCCCAGAATCCTGGCAATAGCTTATAAAGTACTTATGAAAAACAGACCGGACGAAAAGTGATTGCCACTCGCTCACTCCTAAGGCTTTCGTCGATACTATGTCGTACTAGGCTTAGTGCGAAACATTATTAATTAGCTAAGAACTAAAAATATAAATTATAACCGATTTTAAAGAGGAGTAAATATTACTCTGCTGGATATATGCTTCAACACGTACAGTGTACAACAGCAGTTAGCATACACACATGGATGAACTGCAGTTTTACATGTCATTAATAGGACAACAATGTGCTGATTTCAACTTCGGCCGAGCCGACGCTCTCATTCGACAATCGTGTCAAATCAACTCTCTCTCTCTAATTTTCATTTTCGAATATAATGTTTATGGAGGTTCGATGGTCAGTCGATGAGATTTTGATGATAAAACCAAGTTTTTGTCAACGACTTGTCAACTAAAAATGGATGAATTTGTCATTAATGACAGCCTAGGACATGTCCATGATAATGCCATTAAATTTCATGATGAACTTTCGATGATTTACAGATGACTGGTTGCAGGGTATGAACAGCTACCCACACAAAATTGCAAGTGTGCAGAGACTATTAAAATATTTTTAAATAGTATTTCTTGAAACTGAAATGGTATTCACTTTTCGGCTGAAATATTTGTATATCGTTATCAGTGCGGTAACACTGTCATGTACATATTTTTTTGGCCTAATTAATGAAGATCTTAATAGTCAAATAATCAAGAATATTTGATCATTGAAAAACCATTTTACCAAACCACCAACCCCCGCACCGGATTTATTTTTTGAAATGGCTAAACCTTTTCCGGTTAGTTTGGTATATTTTATTTTGTCTTAGAAAAAAATGCCTCTATACTTATAAATTATTTATTTTATTTAGTATTCTGGTACTGATAGTATAGAAGAGGAGGAAGTGGAGCCCAAATTTAAGTACCAACGTCTTGCAAACGATTTGAAAAACTTACTTAACGCTGATGTCATTACCTGCGCTGCTGTACATTTAAAGGTGTTCTTGACATACAGTGAATTGTATTTTCTTATATTGTATTTAGTTTCTTATATTTGGCACTTTCCGAGGGCGCGTCTATTTATTTGACCATCAAGGAAACTCTGTCAATTCGAATCTGAGCAATACCGACCGCCACCATCAGGTTGCAGTTAACTCTATTGACGTAGGTCCTAAGGGCGAGTGTGTGGCCACATGCTCCGACGACGGGAAAGTGAGTCCTAAGCTTAACGATGGCTAATAAAGACTAACTTCTTATTTCGCAGGTGAAAATAACCGGTTTTTTTAACTGCGATAATAATATGGATTTAAGTTTTGGCAAATTTATAAAGGCCGTTGCTTTGGACCCCGATCCTAGGGCTCGCCATAGGCGATTCATAGTGGGTAGGTAGATTTATCAAATTTATCGATTTATCGAAAAAACGAGTCTTACTTAGGCGATGACAAACTCGTCTTGTACGACCGAAATCTCCTTAAGAATCTTAAAGCAACTGAGCTATGCTCAGTCGAAGGCAATGTTCTGTCGATCTGCTGGCATGGCAACTTGGTTGCTTGGGCGAGTCACTTAGGTGTCCGTGTCTACGATTTAAAAGGCAGATGTTCGCTTGGGTTAATTAAATGGGAGGTTCCTGCCCAGGAGTGCCTAGAAAACTATCACTGTCATCTACGATGGTCCAACGAGTATACTCTGTTAATCGGCTGGGTAGACACTATACGAATTTGCGAAATTAGCAAGAAAAATTCTGTCGAAACTTCAGCTAGTAATCTGCCTGGTTACATAGTGGATCCAGGTGATTAATGTGACACTTACTTGGACTTTCAAAATTTAATAGTTATTTTATTATTGCAGTCTCAACACTTCAAACTACTTTCTACATTTGTGGACTTGCTCCACTAACTGCCAAACAATTAGTAGTCCTTGGCTATCGCAAAGAAAGGAGCCCTTCTTTCAAAGCTCTGCGTCCTGTGTTGTGCGTTATTGAATACAAAGTGAATAATAGCGAAGAGATCTGTACAGATAGTTTGACTTTGCGGGGCTTCGAGGACTACACCGTAAACGACTATAGTCTGGGCAGCATAATCGAAGAGAATCGCTTTTATATTGTGGCCCCCAAGGACATTGTGGTAGCTAGTCTTATTGAAAATGACGACCGGTTGGAGTGGTTGATTAAGCACAGGTAAGCGAATAAACTAGTTTATAGTCCATCGTTCTAAAAGTTTCCACGACAGCTATACCACTAAGCTATCACAACATTTTTCAGTTGCTTTTTTCCAATCGTAAAAGTATTCTGATAACGAGCTTGAACCAGTGCCACTGCAGAGTTTACCATCGTATATATCGGCCATCATTTCTAGACTGCGTTTGTGCAACACCATATGATAGGGCTGACATTTGCGGGGCATGTACCCAGTATCGAATCTAGGATCGTGCCAGCGATAGACATGTCGTAGTGGAGCCAGCCAAGTTCCGACCGAGACATCCTCGGACACATAAGGTGTGAGCAGTTGGGAACTGTCGGCAATATACTCACAGAGTTCTCGAGATAAAACGTAACCACCGCCTAATGCATAAGGCAGGTAGTTTTTGCTAAGAAAATAATTAGACTCTTTCCAAAGGCCTTTCCTTTTAATTGTGGCTCGACCATTAAAGTATCCCCAATATAGCTGTGGTAAGGGATATTGACCGTACTCCGACCTTTTGCGAAGTAACTTTCGATCATAGGAGACAAGATCATTGAGCAAACTGTTCAGCTTAACGAAGGTATCGTCGTCCACTTTGATGACATATGAGAAATCGTAGTGGTGTCTCAAAAAATCCAGGGCCTGGATAAGTTTTTTTGTAAGATTGCCGTATGTGTCGTTATGTCGTTGCAGCATTATTAGATCGTTGTGTTGATTTTGCTCCTTCACTAGGTCCGCTTGCATGGAACTGCTTATATTCCAAGTACCAATGGCAAACACGTGCTTCACTTTAATAAGCCTTTGAGTCCTTGGGAGATCCTTTGTCATCATTCTTTTCTGCCAATCCTTATACTGCCTCAGGCGATTTGCCTGTTGCTCAACTAACTCCACCTGCAAGTGGCCATTAGAGCTGTAGGTTGGAAGAAAAATCAGCTCTTCAGGATAATACTGCTGATGGAGGGGTTGTCTAGCAGTTCGGAGCCAGGTGCTTCGCATGGCGTTCCTTTGATCAGCATTGCGTGGTGGACTAAGCACCAACACCACGAGAAACACATTCGGATGCGGCTCCAATTGGATGCGTCCAATGGTATGTGCTGGACATTGGTCTGCAGGACTGAGTATCTTCGTTATGAAGCTACCGAAAAAAAACGCGGTTATGGCCATGATAAAAGTAAATAAATTATTTAAACGCCTCATTTTAAGTTTGTTCTATATAATGTGACCGTGGAGAAGTAAAAAAAATTAGGCCCCGTTTACACTATAGTCGAGATATGAGGTTTACTTCGATTTTTCTTAAAGCAGAAATTGCACCTCAGCCTGACACATCTTTAAAAATTATTTTAATTTAACGGTCTAGAAATTGATATTTTGGAGTAATAAGTATGGATATGAAACCGGAGAGAAGGTAACAAGGCTTTTACGGGGTAGTCTCTGTTATTTACATATAGTCGCGAAGTCGTCGGTATTTTTATGGTATATTTACGTTTGACTCGCCCCAATATAAAAAAATTTTTTTTTTATTTTATAGCCTGAATGCATTGCACATTTGGGAAATGTAGCGAAATCTACATTTATTATAATCATGCGCATAGGCGAAATTTTGTCACTAGATCAAAATGTGTGTAACTGAGAATATAAATATGTATGACAGTCATTCCGCAGAACGATTTCGATATCGACATTGTAGTTTGACTTCTTCCGGCATTTTGTTTTAAGAACAAATTTTGATTGTTTCACAGACTTATGTCAAATATTTCCTTAAACTTTTTGATGTGTCCGATCATTTTATTTTTGGTTTCATATTTTTATATTTTGGTTTAATTTAAACTGTCAACAATAGAGCCATAAGTTGCTAAAAATTAAAAAAGGTCAACCGCTTCGACCGAAAATGACATCGCTAAACTGATCCTCTTAGTGGAAGCACATTTCACGCATTTTGAACGCCGAAGCTTTCGAATAGTCAAACAAGAAATTGAAAGAATGGTCGCTTACAGACAGGCGTAAACAACTTTATTCCACAAAGCGAAAGGAACCTTTTAAGCGACCTACCAATCGATGGTGTCTAAGCTTTCACATTTTATAACGTTATTATATAATTTGGTAAAAGGCAAAGTTGCTACCTTTTATTTCTTACTTACATGTTGGGACATAGTGTGGTTTCGGAAATGAGTATATGGAATCAGTCACTTTAAATGACCGAAAATGTGTCAATTGAATTAGGCAATAATTAATCTTGAGCCCAGTCCAACTCGAAAGAATTCGTCTGAAATGGAGAACACCTTTGCTCAGTTCGTGCACGCGTTGTAAAAATGGAATTATAACTATTGAGAGAACACAACCATCTCGTAAAAGTTACGCCCTTCGAACTTCAACAACTTATATCATTCTGGACCCTTGAACGCATATATTACTCCTTCCTCGCTTATGTATCTTTAATTACATAGATTTTTATTTTAATCGTTTTGGCCAGTTTTGGGATGGATGTCCCTGCAAATCGTACGGAGTTCTTTAGCGAAAATTTTTATTTGGGCAGAAATACTTTGCCACAGAGGTAGACAAGACAGTTTTCATTGTCTGTGGTTCTAGACACCTCTGCTTTTTAACCGAATTAACTATTGCTATTCAAATTCAACAAATTTTCTTTCCACAGGGTCATTAAGCCAAAAGTATATCACAAAAACATCTCAACGACTTGCACAGTAATTATATAAATTCAGAAAAAATACTGAAATACTTTATTAGGAATGCAGACAACCCTTTGCATAGAGTAAGAATCTATATAGAGGTTTCAATTGCTCTGCCCGAACCTCTGCCCAACCTCTGCTAAGAGCCAATTCAAGGCCAAGTTTGAAGCTAACTTAGGTGCGAAGCAACAGCAATAGGGATTTCGATTAAAAACAAAAACAAAACAGTGAGCAGGAGCGGTGCAGAATGAGGTGGGAACGAATTACAAGTTCGATCGAACTTGTCAAAAAGAGGGGAAATAAGCATTTTTCGCCTAGGTGGCATCATAGCCTCGTTATCTAAAGAGAGCGGCAGAGCAGATGACGCCTCTATACATTATTACTCTATGCCCTTTGTCTGAACAGACTATTCTACAGTATGTGAAAAATCAGGAAAATCTGTATAGAATGACCATTAAGTATATCTATATTATTTGTAATTGGTTGATGTTTGCACTTTAATTAAAAGCAACAAGTTCTTGAAACAAGCTTAGAAAATACGGAAATGAAAGTGTTGAGTTTTTCCCAATTTTGGTGGAATAATGAATAATTTTAAGTCAAAAGCCAATTGCCTCTAATTTTTAATTATTTGTATTTGAACTCGGCGCTAATCGATACTGCTCGATAAGTATCATAAATTGATAATATGAAAAGTGATGCTGCAAACTTGACCATGAGAATGGGGCGCAAGAAAGAAAGACGAAAGGAAGAACAAGATGGCATTTATTTCTCTCAAATTGTATAGAGTAAAGCCTAGTATTTAGATCGGCTAAGAGTTTCATTAGTCGAAAAATCTTATTCTTTGTAGTGTGACCGAAGTTTTCAAAGTTCACCCGCAATGCATGTAGCATGGTCTCACTGTCAAGCAGCTGGGGTTGTTCCCAAACGGAAAACAAATCAAAAGGAGAAATTTAATAAGAAGGAGTCTGTTGGTACACAAAGAAATTTAAATACAAATTAATGAAATGTTTAACGATTGTTTTCATTTATGTAAATTAGTAGTTTAAAGCTTCCTTCTCGTCCCACGGATGCTTCGCCATCTTTCCCCCTCCACCGCAGTACAGCTCCGAGTCCCAATAGGCATATTGGACCTTGAGGAAGTGGGAGAACGGGGTTGATCCGCTGATGCTGCAGGAAGCCGCCCAGCATCCTGGCAGTGGCTGGCTATGGCTTCTCCAACTGTTCCTTAGCGAGCGCCCTATTTTCCTCCTCCTTATAGAAGTAGCTGGTGGTGGTGGTGTCCGAAGTCCTATTGGAGAGGTCGTCGGAGATTGTATTACTGGTGGTTCTGCTAAAAAGATACTTCTATTAGTACAACGCAACCAAATTATTTTGGCCAGATCTTAATTTCTTTGTGAGGACGCGCCCGGCAGGATGTCCATGTAGAGATCGAAGACCTACTCGGCATGTTCCTTCCCACTGGGATTCTCTAGTGGATCTCCTCCAGCACTTCAACTATTTGCGAATTTGCCCTTTTTGTGGAATTGCTTCCTGGCGGAGAAATCCCACAATAAAGGGCATAAGCTTGGATTTGGCGTCCTATTTCATCTACTCTAACACCCTGCATCCGACTTTGGGGTTTTCCTTCCATTTTTAAATTTTGGTTTCCACATCGCCTTTGCACGAACACCGCCAAAGATTAAATTTCTTATTCTTTGGACTTTGGAATCTGGGTTTTTTTCTGGTATTTCCTTAGCTCATCTGAGTACCGCGCTGAAAAACAGGCCCGACGAAAAACGTTAGCCGGGTATTTGCCTCTCGCTCACTCCTATGGTTAGCTCGCGGTTTTCGTCGATCTGAGTACTAGGCTTAAGAATCTTTATAGAGACACCATTTGCTCTGCCCGAACCTCGGCTGTGAGCCAATTCAAGGTCAAGTTCGAAGCTTACTTAGATTTTTCGACACGCCCAACATGTGCGAAACAACAGCAATAGTGGTGAAGTTCCAATACAAAAACAAAACAAAGCGATGCTGATATATAAAAATATAAAACTATCGGGCCGAAGGACTTTAGCTTCCAGCGTTCCTTCTTTTTCAAATATTAATGTTATTATTATATACTAGCCTTAATTTGTTAAAATAAAATAAAATAAATAAATAAAACTCAGCACGGGAATAAATTACAAGGTCACATCGAACATTTTAAAAACTAGGGAAATTATCGTTTTTTGCCTGGGTGGCGTCATTGGCAAAGTCTCCAAAGAGTGCGCAAGAGCAAGTTGTGTCTCTATATAGACTCTTACTCTATGCATAGAGTAAGAATCTATATAGAGGTTTCAATTGCTCTGCCCGAACCTCTGCCCAACCTCTGCTAAGAGCCAATTCAAGGCCAAGTTTGAAGCTAACTTAGGTGCGAAGCAACAGCAATAGGGATTTCGATTAAAAACAAAAACAAAACAGTGAGCAAGAGCGGTGCAGAATGAGGTGGGAAGGAACTACAAGTTCGATCGAACTTGTCAAAAAGAGGGGAAATAAGCATTTTTCGCCTAGGTGGCATCATAGCCTCATTATCTAAAGAGAGCGGCAGAGCAATTGGCGCCTCTATATAGTTCATTACTCTATGCTCTATGCGAATTATCCAACAACCGTTCAAACTATAATTATTATTTCTAATTTGTATACCCTTGCAGAGGGTATTATGATTTCAGTCAGAAGTTTGCAACGCAGTGAAGGAGACGTTTCCGACCTCATAAAGTATATATATTCCTGATCATCATCGAGTCGAGACGAGTCGATCTTGCCATGTCCGTCCGTGTCTACGCAAACTAGTCTCTCAGTTTTAAAGCTATCCGGCTGAAACTTTCCCAAATGTCTTCTTTCTTTGCAGGAGTGTATAAGTCGGAACCAGCCGGGTCGGACTACTATATCTTATAGCTCCCTTGAAATAATCGGAAAAAATATTTTTTTTAAATTATATCTTTGGTGTTTTTAACATATACGCTCCTACGCTTGGAAATAACATTTTTTAATTACTTTTGAATTTCGAATTTCATTTTATCAAAATCGAAGGACTATATCATATAGCTGCCATATCAACGATCGGAAAATTGGTGTGAAAATAAAATGAAACAAATTATAGCTTCGGTGTTTTTTGACATATTATCTTATACTATTGGGAATATGAATTTTTGTATTTTTAAGAATTTCGAACTAAATTTAATAATTATAACTGCAAGGGTATACAAAGTTCGGCTTGCCGAAGTTAACTTCCTTTCTTCTTTTTATACCCGTTACTCGTAGAGTAAAAAGGTATACTAGATTCGTCGGAAAGTATGTAACAGGCAGAAGGAAGCGATTCCGACCCCATAAAGTACATATATTCTTGATCAGGATCACTAGCCGAGTCGATCTAGCCATGCCCGTCTGTCCGTCAGTCTGTCCGTCCGGATGAACGCTGAGATCTCGGAAACTATAAGAGCTAGGCTATTGGGCATTGGCATGCAGATTCCTGAGATTCCTGCGCAGAGCAAGTTTATTTCACCAGCGTGCCACGCCCACTCTAAGGCCGACAAACCGCACAA